AGCCAAACAGCTTGTATTTTTACCAGCCTTGGTTGTGGATTTGTAGGCTATTTTAAGGTTTCTTAATAATCTCAGCAAGACTTCACTTTCCTGTCTGCATCTTATTTGCTCTAAGGATATTCTGTAAAATTAACAAGCTATAAAGTTTGAATGAAGGTTTCAACAAATGTGAGAATAATTGACTGCATTTAGCGAAACAAGAAAAACAATCTGTAAACTTGAGTTTGTAGGGGAAAAACCCGTGTGATTTTTCTCTTTAACCAGAGGAGCAATAACAAGCAGGACTTTCTAAGACCAAAAAATATAGAACTGGCTGATAATGCACATTTAAATTCTGATTCCCTCCAAATCAAAAGTTCAGAAAAAGAAATTCTGAAAAATCTAACCAACCACTACAATGCTCATGCCTTCCAGGAGGTCTGTATGGAGAAAAAGGGGACCCATAAAGATAAAAGAGTTCCTCATTCCCTGGAGTCTGCATCCAGAGGAACCTGGTTCCACTCTCTGACCCCGCCTCCTGTTCCCTTGCTAGACTGGGATGGTGGTGGGAGGTGTCCTCCCTTCCCCATGGCTGCTCTGAGGTGTGTGTATCAAATCTTACAACTCAGACTACAGCAGACTCTGGTGCCTGGTGCTCAGTTCCTTTTCTCTCTCACCCTCCCCTGTCTTCCATAAGACAGCTTAGATCTCTTTTTCTTCTTCTTTTTTCTTTTTTTTCCACATCTTTCTTTCTGTTTCTACCTGGGCATCTCTGCCCAAGCTGGGCATGCCCTCTGCTGAGTGGCTGTGGAGAGTCACCAGTTTTCAGAGAACTCCATTCTTGGCTTATCTGTCATTCCCTAAGGTTCCCAAGATCAGTAACTCAATCTGCCTTCCCTCTTCTCTCTTGACCTAGAAGTTTCTTCCTTCTTTCCTCAAGACCTAACCTTCCTCTTAACTCCAGCCTCCACCTACTCCCATGCATGCTCACATTCTGTCTTTCTAAGGAACTGAGCCTGGGACTGGCCAGGCTCCTGTACCGACTTGCCGCATCTCACTTTCAGTTTTCCTTTCTGCTTGGTTCTTTGCGTGTGGACCTGATCGGGTGATAACTGGAGCCCTGAAGCTAGAGGTTTCAGTTCCCACTGACGGGCACGCTGCCTCAGATGGTCCTCAGAAGGAAAAGGGGCTTTCTCTGGGTGCCTTGCTTTTAGCTCTTCCCTGACCTAAAGCCCCAGTTTGTTTCCAAAGATGACTAGAGTGATTTATGTAAGACATTTTGTCCATTAATTCTGGAGTTCCTAATAATCTCTGCAGTGAGTCTCCCTCCGGAAGGCCATGACTGCCATTGAGAAGGTGCAGGGACCCGGGTTTCCTGGGGCACTCCCTAGCCAGAAGCCCTTTTCCCCACCTCTAGCCCCAGTCCAGCACAACCTGTTAACAGACCAGGAAGGAACACCATGCTGCCCAGCTCTCTTCCCTCTAGAGAATCCAGAGTTTGCCCAGAGCTACAATGTACATACCACTTACATTCTCTGTTTTTCATTGATACAAGATGGAAAAATATACTCATGAAAAGAGCTTTTGTGGGGATTATGTCATACACTTCATCTGGACTCCTTCCTCTCCAAGCAGGGAGCCTAGCTTTAACCCCTCTCCTACCAGGAAGTCCTCCTGGGCCAGCCAAAGATTATCTCGGAGTTGGCTCGTTGGGGGTGGTTTGAAGGGCTTCTTCCATCATGATGTCTCTTATTTACTGTATTTAAACGTTTGTCCCCCAGGTTCAAGTGCTGGAGGCTTTGTCTAGGACAGGGGTCCTCAAACTACTGCCCGCGGGCCACATGCAAATACAGATACTGTATTCGTTCCCGTTTTGTTTTTTTACTTCAAAATAAGATATGTGCAGTGCGCATAGGAATTTGTTTATAGTTTTTTTTTTTTTAAACTATAGCCTGTCCCTCCAACCGTCTGAGGGACAGTGAACTGGCCCCCTGTTTAAAAAGTTTGAGGACCCCTGGTCTAGGAGAATATTATCATCAATCTGTGAAACTCTAGGGTCCTCACCCCTCTAGGCTCATTTCTCATATCACAAAGCAGAATGCTTTAGGTGGCATGCTAGCAAGCTAGAGACAGGAGGCTTCTCTGTGCCTCTGGGCAAGCCCTAGACTTTGTGCCTCTAGGTTCCCCATTTACCGAATAGCTAGAACCCCATGTCTTTCACCCACAGTGCACTTTGGAAAGATAAGGAGACTGTGTACAATCTTGGCTGGTCCCCTGCTAGTTGGATTGCAAAGGAACAGGGACCCTCTTCTAAAAGGTTGGGTGACTTTTCTTTCTCCAGACAGGTAGAATCCTTTTCAGGCCTCTTAGCACCAGCTCAAAGACCCCACTGGATCAAAGCCCTTTTCAGAATCAGCCAAGAGTACCCTTGCCCTTAGGGGAGGGACTAGTGGCCCTAGTAAACAAAATCTCAGGGGAAAGCAGGTGCCTTCTAAAGGAGTGAAAATGAAAAAGGGACTATTGGGAGGGGGCGCGTTCCATTGTGCTGTTGAGTCTCTGTGAATGACAGTTCCCAGTGATCCTCTAAGGATGTGTGCAGGCAGGCTCAGGATGTCTGCATCCCTAGGTCCCGCTGTGCCCTGGAAATCCCCATCTCCAGAAATCCACATCCACACATGTGGTCTTTCTCCCTCCTGGCCAGGAATCGCACACTTCCTGAGCCACTCAGAATGCCACCCAGCCTGTGTTCTAACAGCGGGAATTTTCCTGCCCTCCCGTCAGCACACACGCACGGGCACACTCTCCTCTTCTGGGTGGATTGCTGCTGCACATTACAGGAGTGCCAGCATAAACCTCTCACCATCCAGGTGATGCCAAGGACCCTGGCTAGCTTCTTCTCTGTCCTCCTCCCCCCTAAACCCCCACCTCCTCGCCATTCAGCAGTAGCAGCCTCATACCGAAAAGGAAAGTCCTGGACCCATTACATAATTCTCCATAGTGCAAGCAGTAGCTAGGGCATAAGGTCAGAGGTCATAGTGGGGTCAGGTGGCTGACACACACTGTAACGACAAGGTGGTTAAAATTAGACCACAGAGAGGAAACTGGCAGTCTTGTGGAAATGCAGAAGTTTCCTCTGCAAGTGTGAGGCTGGGGATTCAGGGAGGCCACTGTGCGTGCTGCCTGCCAGGCTATTACTCATTTCAGCTCTGTTCTTTAATGCCTTTTAGCCCCTGCTTCTGTATTTCTAGCCTTCCTCATCACATGTTTGAATACACGCGATGGAATCCATGGTTACCTGCCCTGGTCCAAGGAGAGCTTCCTTCTTCCTTCAAGGAGGTGTAAGCCCAGGACCAGGCACCCCAAGCTCAAGACAGCTATTCTTTCCAAAGCCTTATCTGGGTAGCTGAGCACCTTTTAGGTTAGCCTCTCAGGTGGAGGTAGTTGAAGTGCATAGCCTGAGATTCAGGCCTGTAGTGATTCCAGGACCATTGGTGAGGGTGAGCAGGAGCCACTCCTCGGCAGGGAGAGTAGCAGGTTTTGCTGGAAAAGGGAGTAGAGGATGGAGTCACATAGCACCTGTGATAGAGTGGTGCTCGTTTCCACAGTATCACAGGAATAGGGATCATGCCTGCCTCGTGGCTCCTGGTGGTACTCAGCCGACTTTCTCTGTGTTCGTCAGTCCTTACTGTGAGCTTCCTGTGTGCCCCACTCCCTGGCAAGGGGAGCTTAGGAGATGTAGTCTTTGCCACCAGTGGGGTTATTGTCCAAGTGAAGGAGTAACAAATGCACCTGTGAAACATCAACAATCAAAGACAGACTCCAAGTTCATACTTTACTGTGTGATTCAGACATAGAATTCCCTATCGTATTGTGGAGTGGGAAAGCTTTGAGGGGGCAGGGGACACTCAGTATGGGCTAGAGTCAGTGACGATGAGAACGGGCTGCCACCCTGTGGCATATCTGACGACTGAAGTGTGTTTCCCTGTGTGGATTGGCCTTCACCAGCTTCCGAGCTTCAGATCAAATAGGGCCCCTCCTCTGCCTTGGTGGGTGCCCTTTCATATGGAGGAGAGGACTGCAGAGGCCAGAGATGGAGAAAAGGGCATGAGGGGGTGCAAGCAAAGCAGATGGGTTTGCAGGTGAGGCCACCATGTGTGTGTGGTCTCACAGGAAAAGGACCCCAGACAAGGTGACTATGGAGACTTCATCTGAGACACTTACAAATTTGACGATTGCTCAAGATATTGAATTTCATTTCAGCTAAATCAGCCCCAGCTTCTCTGACAGCACTGGCTTATGTGCTGATGTAGCCACATGGGAGCAGGATGGCGTGAACCCTGGAGGAGCAGAGCTTTGGTGAAACACCCCCACCTGCTTTGCCTGTCTCCCTTCTCCTGACAACAATTTCCTGCCTGAGCCCAGTCTCTGAGTATGAGAAGCTCTTGGGTGGGGCAGAACCCGCCAGGGGAAGCCCAAAATTATCAGGCTGAAATGAAACAGCCAAGAAAGCCCTCACCATTCATTTTGCACTGAGCTGAAAGTTCTCCTTTTGGGAGTCTGGCGAGAGGGGAGCTTGGAAAAGAATAGAGAGTGGCTGTGAGGGGTACCAGAAAGCTGTGTTCTGTGAAAGCCACCAGTGGTTGGCACTCCACCCTTCCTTCTATCAATTAGATATCAAACCTAAAAGAATTTAATTTATTCTTTGTTATTATCAGGACTTTGGGGGGCAGGAGGGAGGCACAACCCCAGAGGATACCTGTCATTGATTCTGGGGTTGTCTGCTACCCTCGAGATGACCTAAGGAGAGACAGTAGTGACTTTCTTCCCTTAGAAGATCTTGGTCCTCACCCCTTGGCCCTTGCTCACCGTGTCACACATGCATGCATACCGCACACTCATCCTGTCTCCCTTGCCCAGCAACGTTGACACATTTCTCATGTGCTCCGCCGCCAACAGTGTCTCTCATCTTCATCTTCCCTTTCAGAAAATGCTGTTTTTCTTCTCTCCCTTTTGCCCTGTAGGTTATTGCAGCCGACTGCAAAAGGGTCACAGTGCTGAAGTATTTTCTGGAAGCCCTTTGTGGACAAGAAGAGCCTCTGCTGGCATTCAAGGGTGGAAAATATGTGTCAGTGGCACCCGTCCCAGACACCATGGGAAAGGAAATGGGAAGCCAAGAGGGAAAACAACTGGAAGATGAGGTACTATGCGGGAAGAGCCCGCTGTGGCAAAGGGAAGGCTCCCCTTCCTCCCCCTCCAGCCCTGCTCTGCCCATGGCTTCGGCTTCTACCCCTGGTTATTTATAACCACTCAGAGCAGTGTCGATGTTAACGTGACCAGCCAGCTTCTCAAGAGTGCACTCTGCTGGTGCCCCTTCCTGCCAGTCCCACCCCAGTGCCTCCATCTCTGCTACGAGTTCCAGATGCTTCTTTTTAATGTTGCATTGGAGAAGGGAGGGAAAGAAAGAGTTTAATAATGTGCAGCTCCGGAGGCTTAGGAAAGGGAGTGGAGGGGGGTGTTAGGGTTCAGGCTGAGGATCAAGTTTATAGATGTGTGGAGCTCAGCGCAGCACAGGCCTGAACTCCAGCCTCTAGCACACGTACAGGAAGAGCTGACATTGCTGGCCCCGTGTGGAAAATCACCCCTCCCCCGCCTACCCTCCCTCGCTCGTTCCCTCCCTCCCTCCCTCCTGCACATCCTGATGTGATTAAGGAATTCTCTTGTTTGTTTGCCCTTGGTTGTTCCTGTAGCCCTTGCTTCACTCCAAACCGTGTGCGCTCACCCTAGTGTGCGCACGCGTGAGCCTGTGTACCTACCCCTGCTAAACCTCACTGGCAGTTGCCCTGCCATGCATGTATGTGTCTTTCTGGGGGTGGTTGCTGTCGTGGGTCTGTCGGTGCTGGGCTTGTGTGTCAGTTTAAGTTGAACACTGCTTCCAGCTTCCCTGCTGTCTGTGGGTTCTGAGTAAATGTGAGTGTGTAGCGGTGTTGGCGCATGTGTGTGTTTAATATCACTGCCAGCTGCCCTGCTGTGTGTCTGGGTGTGGGTAACTGTCTGGGTGTGTGTGTGCACACAGCTCACTTTTGCCTGATGGTTGATTCTTACCTTCTTTTACCCCACAGTGTTAAAGACAGAGGGGACTTAGGTGGGAAGGAACATGGGACTTAAGGAAGGGACGGAAGTAATTCCAGCCAGAGGCCAGGTCACCCATAGGCCAACACAGTCATTTGGCCCGCAAGAGTCTCAAGCGCCTGGTGGAGCAGGGTGGGGTGCAGGGATGAAATCAGCAACAGGCCAGGGAAGCCAGATGTCAGCTGGAAGCTGTCGTTTGTGATCTGAAACAGTGATAGAGTGGCCACCTTTGGTTCAGTCTTCAGAGCGCAGTCTTGGACTGGCTTCATTAGAATAGCTGGAGAACCCCACCCCACCCCTGATGATACAGGCTCAGCTTCCAGGACAGAGGTGGTTCCAGGGATAAAGCTGAGCCCACGATTCCAGACTCCCCAGATGAAACCTGGGCAGGAAATAATGGGAAAGAATGAGCTGTCAGCATGGGAGGAGACAGTGGGGTTGCTAAAGCCATCGGGGTGTCCAGGCTTCAGGCGGGACAGAGCAGTGCCACCCAAGCCCTGGGCACTGTGCAGGGAAGCATGGGTGGGACAGTGCTAAGTCAGTTATCTCACCCACACGGGGAGGCTGAGGTAGCCGTGGAAGGTCAGCAAGGCTAGCTCTCCAGGATTGCTGTAAGAGATGCCCTCCGGCCAGTGGAGCCTGCAATGCCAAATCAAGTTAGGCAAGTGAGGCCCAGAGAGAGGGGCTGAGCCATAGTTCTTTCACTCCTACAGGGAACAGACCGGTTCTCTGGTCCCAGACCTTGGTGGTGCCCCCATTCTCTCTCCTTCAAGTCTCATTAACCAGACAAAGGTTGTGACCCATGCCACACTGCCCACTTCTTCCTTTTCCCACGAGCCTTCTGAGTTCCTTGTATGTTAGTGGCCCCTGGGAAACCCTACTTACCCAGGTCTGTGTAATTTCATAACCCTGAACTTCCTCGTTTGCTGTGAGAGCTGAGAAAACCTCAGACAAGCCTTGCTGACCCTCCTTTGACCTCAGTCAAGCTCACTCAGAGCCCCATGATAACCCAGTGTATCCTGATCAGAGCAAGCAGAGGCCTCGTTCCCTCGTGGGCCAGTCAGGCATCCTATTCCACTCACTCCAGTCCAGGTTAACAAGGAAGTAAATATGTAGTGTCTTCCTCCTTCCCAGGGTCTCTCTGGAAGTGCACCATGTGACACCATAGCCTGTTGGTTGTCAGATGAGTGGTAACTGCAGACAGCACCCAAACCCCTGAGACCTCTTAGGATAGTGGCAGTTCTGGCCCCATCCTGATATCTCATCTGTGCTCAGACGACAAGACTGAGTCACTTAAGCAGATTGGGAGAGAAGAGGTAGATACTTCTTCAGGCATCATTCTTCACGAAGATAACAGTCTAGTTGCTTAGGGATGCTACCGAAGCACCTGTCGTTCCACCCTAGACTCTGCTACCCCACACACTTTACCAACCACTTTCAGCCAAAATTCCACTGGAGAACCATCTGGATATGGGCAGTTAGGGGAGAGAGCAGGGTGTACAGCACAGGTCCTCGGTGGGGCTATGGGAGACCTGGTGAAGCCGAGCCACTCTGGGATGGATCTGGGCTCACCGTCCAGATTAGGCCCCCACCCCTGTGCTGACTGGTATTATTAGTAAGAGCACAGACTTTAGAGCTTGACTCACTAGAGTCCCTGCTATGTCACTTACTAGCTTTGTGATCTTGAGCAAATTGTTTAACTCTAAACCTCAGTTTGTTCATTTGTAAAATAGGGATTATAATAGCATCCGTTTCTCAGGCCATTGTGAGAATTAAATGAGTTCGTACATGAAAAACAGCCCTGTCCTTGGCCAGTGCTAAGCTCTCAGTAAATGGTAGCCATTATTGTCATAATCATTGTCATCATTATCAAGTTAGAAACAGGAATCTCCTCCTACTAAATCACTCCCTATTGCCCATGCTAACCCTGCCCCTCAAAGGAAGCTGCTTGGGCAGCTGCATGTTCTCTACTGACCAAGGCCAAAAGTGAGAGAGAGGAATGGAGCCTGGGACCACCCGGGGAGCAGTGGCTTCTGAGAGCTGAAGCTGCAAGCAGGGAGGTGCCATCCCTGGGGAAGGCTCCACCAGCCTGCAGGAGACTTAAGCTAGCAGCTATCTCCCAGCCTGCCCAAGCTCCAGTAGGGCAGCTGAGCAAGGTCATGTCATGTGAATTCCTATAAGGAGGCCCAGCCCTGACACCACCAGGCTGTGGTCTTAAAAAGAAACTAGGGCAAGGTCTGCTGAGCTACAGCATCTGCTCCCTGACGCTGTCTGGGGCAAGGGAGCTTCCATGCCTAACTCCCAGCTGTTGGCCAGAATTGATTCCTATCAGATTATTAGCATGAATTAGATTTAAATTGGGTTGTTTAACTTTCTCTGTTGTTTTCCCCTTTGGTGATTTCAAAACAAAAATAGACCTAAAGTTTGACTTTGTGAGTTTGTGCAAAGGAGAATGAAGAGCTGTGAGTAGAAACATGAAAGTTATCCATGAGAGTGACTGACGGTGTGGTCTCTGACTCTGGCATTCAGAAAAAGTCCTAGAGTACAAAAGGGAGCAATAGTGAGGGAGGGAGTAACAGCTTCTCTTTACCCCTCACACCTTGGGGCCCTTTGTAAGAAATGTCTAAAGAAGCTTAGAGTGGGGGTGCGGGAAGGATAGAAAGATGGGTCTGGTAAGTGTCATGGACTCACAGTATCCTCTCTTTCCTGGCCTGTTTTGCCACCCAAAGGAGGAGGATGTGGTGATTGAAGACTTTGAAGAAGATTCAGAGGCTGAAGGCAGCGGAGGCGAGGATGACATCAAGGAGCTTCGGGCCAAGAAGCTGGCCCTGGCCAGGAAGATAGCCGAGCAGCAGCGTCGCCAAGAAAAGATCCAGGTGGGGCCTGCCTGGGAGGATGGCTCCCATCAGGGGCATGAGGGGATGTGAGAATGGAGCAGGGGTAAGCAGGATCGTCTCAGGAAAAGTCTCACATGTCTGGTTCCACCTCGTTTTCTTTTTCTGTCACTAAGTTCTGATAGCACATTTGGTGCCTGGAGGCTCCCTCCTCCTGGGATCTAAGTTTTGAAGTTCTCCTGAACCTTATCCGTACAGTCCCAGAGAGGCCAGGGACTCTCTGTTGAGAACACCTGTCCTCAGGGGGGGAGAATGTCATGGCCACAGTCTGCTTATCTGGATTCCCAGTGTGATGGCCGAGCCCCTCTGCAGACCTCTAAACCTTCCCAGAGAGAAACTGCTTGATCTCCACACGAGGATTCCTCCACTATCAGCCCTTTGTGGACCCATACCTCCACTTCCAGCAAGTTTTTCTTTTATTTTCCTTTTTTCCTTTAAGCTGCACCCGTGGGCATGCTTATTGATTCCAAAGAGAGGAAGGGAGACACAGAAACTTCAATGTGAGAGGAAAACATTAATCCGTTGCCTCCTGTACTTGCCCTGACCAGGGATCAAATCCGACCGGGGATCGAATCCGCAGCCTAGGCATGTGCCTTGACTGGGGATTGAACCTGCAACCTTTTGGGGGCACGGGACAACACTCCAACAACTGAGTCACCCAGCCAGGCCAGCATGTTTTTTGTATGGCTCTTCCAGGTCTGCCTTCTTGCACTGTACGCTCACTGCCTCTTATCCAGGGCTCAGGACAGACAGGGAAGAGCCAGTCACACTCTCCTATTTAACTATGTGCTTGGGAAGCATCAGGCCCCTTTAGGAACGTCTGTCTTCAGCTCTTTTCAGACACCCTTCACCTTTGGCAGAGGCCTCAGAGCATGAGGTCAAGCAGACCTGACCACGGTCTGGGCTCCACCACTTACTAGCTTTGTGATTTTTGGCAAATTGTTTAATTTCTCAGAGCCTGTTTCCTCGTCTGTAAAGTGAAAGTGGTAACAGCACCTACCTCTTAGAATTGCTGTGAAGCCTACAAAAACCGGCCCATGTAAAGTGCTTAGCACAGTGCATGGCACACAGAATGTGCTTTATAAATGTCATTGTGGGCTAATTTTGTTCCAATCACCCATCAAACAGAGCCCCGGCCTAAGCAGGGAATAAGCATCAGTTGGGATCCTTCTTTCTTTAGATATTTTCATGTCCCCTGCACACTGGAACCCAGTGTGTGATCCCTCTGCCAGCATCATCCACCCCAACCAAGGATTGTTTCCTTCCGTACTATGGCCACAGTCTTGCTCTGTAGCCAGCACTGCCTCCTCAGCCCTCCTGTGGTCTCTGTTGTAGCCCACTAAGCAGCTTCATCCTCACGTCTGTCTTCCTGTTCTGTGGCTCTTTTTTCCCTCACCATCGGTCTTACCAAAAGTTCTACCTGTACTCACCACCTCTATGTCTTGATTCTCCACTCAGCAATTATATAATCTGTATCATAAGTCACCAAGTGCCTGCCTTTATAAGTCTCAGTCCCCATCATAGTTGACCTCCCTGTAGCATTGGACCCTGAAGCTGCCTTCCCCCAGCTTCAGTTTAACAAGTGAACCCTCATCTATCTCTCTCTCTCTCTCTCTCTCTCTCTCTCTCTCTCTCTCTCTTTTTCTCTCTCTCTCTTTTTCTCTTTCTCTCTCTGTTGACCTAGGCTTCCTCACCACTATTCTTTGCTTGGTCTCCTCCTTCTTTCTGTTACTTTTTAGTCTCAGCGCATAGAGTTGGCACTCAGCAGGTATTCGTTGAGTAACTTAATAGATGGTAGCAACTAGAGCATCATCTTAAATTCCTTGCTGGGTTTTAACCCCTTGGGTCTGATTTCATTTTTTATTTTTTTATCAAATCTATCTGTTCACTCATTTATTCCCCTCTCTCTATTCTCATTGCCACTACTGCTAGTCTAAGCCAGGTACTGACTTGGGTTATAGCAATCAAGTCCTCTGCATCGCACAACTCCAGGGGGTGCTGCTTACCTTGTAGCCTGTGAATGGCACCTCTTGCAGTAGCGCAGCCCACAGCCTACGTGCCACGTTCACTGCCTCCAGTGCATCTTACATGTCCTCATCATTCTCTTCCCAGAAGAGCCATTCTCCTGCTCAGAAATCATCAGAGCCTTTGCTTGGCTGGGTCCTTATTATTGCATTCAAGGCTTTCTTGTGTGTTCACAACCTCTTCCCAAACCCCTTGAGCCCTTATCTATGTATTACATTGGGCAAAGTGTTTAACTTCTCTGAGCCTCATCTATAAAATAAAAGTGGTAGCAGCACCTACTTCAGACCTTAGAATGACAGTGCATGTAAAGTGCCCAGACTGAGGCCCTCCTGCCTGGACAATACAGTGGAGCCTTGACTTACAAGTTTAATTCGTTCCGTGACAGAGCTCGTAACTCAAATTACTCGTATGTCAAATCAATTGTGAACGAGTGAGACACGTGATGCTGGGCTGATGTGGCATTCACTGTGATGTTCGCTGCGCCAACTAGTGGTGGGGTATCTGAAGCTGGCTCGTAACCTGAATTTTAGCTCGCAGCTCAAAGCAAAAAATTGGCCGAGAGACGGCTCGTATCTCGAAAAACTCGTTAGTCGGACACTCGTAAGTCAAGGCCCCACTGTACTACCCTCTTCTCCTTTCCCACTCTTGGATCTTTGTTCATGCTCTTCCCTTTTTCCTGCTCCACATTTCCTGTTACCTATTGAAATTCTATTCCTTCTTCAATCCCCAGATGAAACTCCATCTCCCCAGTGAAGCTTTCCCTGATTCCCCCCAGGAGGACTTAATCTCTCTCTGCTCAGTGTTTCTGTAGCACTGACTTACACTTCATGTGTGAAACTTACATCACATCTCATATTACACTTATTTCTGGACTTGTTCCTCTACTGTGCTGTGAACTCCTTAGAATAGGGTACCCTATCTTCAGCTCAGTTTAGTCAGGTGGTCAGGGGCTCAGGAGGGAACAAATGTCCCATCCCATCGTGTACAGTGGAGTGGAGAAGCCAGTGACTTGAAGTGTGAGTGAGCACTGTTACAAAAGAGAAGGACAGGATGCTGTGGGAGCATATGCTATGGGGACATGGCCTTGTCTGGAGCGCTGTGTTCAGTTCTGCCTCTCCACGGACAAGCAGCACCTTACAAATAGGAGGTCTTGTATGAAGCTTGACTTCCGGTGCCAGCGGCTGCCCTGTCAGAAAGCCTATTCTCCCTGCCACCTCCTTTAGAGTAGGCTGCTCAGGCCCAGGCACCAAGGGCCTGCTGCGGTTTGACCAAGGCTGGGGTTGCTGTTGCCCCTTTAAGAACAGGCCCCACATGAACCTCTGCTGGCGGCCCTGCCTCCTGTCAGCCTTCTTCCTCCAGCCTCACAGCCACAGGAGGATTTCTCAGCAGAGGAAAAATTCCCCCCTTCCCTTCTCCCCCCCCTTTAATGCCCGGGGCCCTTCACTTCCATAATTCTTCATTTTCCAGCCTTGAACGTAAGCCAGACACATCTGTCTGGCCATATGCGTGAACCCTGGAGTCTGTGCCGAGGTGGCTGTAAAACAGGGCCGGTGAAGGCCCTTCTGGGAGAGCACACACATGTGTGTGCCCTCGGGCCATTGGCTCCCTGCCCAGAACCACGGGGCTGCAGCGCTCCAAACCCATGTTAACCTTTTCTTATTTTTCCTCTTTTTGTTTACTTTAAGGGGGGAAAATCCCAAGGAAAAGGTATAAATTGTCCTGGGAGTGGGGGAGAGGCTCCTAGCTAGAGAGGCCATTATTGTTGGCAGGTACCTGGGTCACACTAATACAATAAGGAAGAGAAGAGCATCGAGTGAATTAAGATGGGAGAGATGGGCTGTAAATTACACTGCTCTGAACTCCATCAGTCTCCAGGGGTGTTAACCGAGAGGTGTAAGGCAAGTCCCCAGCTCCCAGCGCCTTTTACAGATGCAGCAAAACAGGAACCACACATGTTTGGAGAAGGGGATATGAAGATGGGGTTGAAAAAAATCCTCCTAGCCCCCATGACAGCTATAAAGTCCAACTGAGATCTGGAGCTGTAGCCACACCCCCACTTCCCCGCTCAAACCTAGACCCCTGGTCCCAAGCTCATCTGTGGGGCTGGGGGAGGTGGGGCCCGGCCTCCCTCCATACCTCACAGCCTGTCCTTCCCTGCTTCCGGCATTGCACAGAGGCTGGTAAGTGAGGCCGACTGGAGGTCAGAAAAGGGGTGTGGGCAGCTCTCAGGGCCTGTGCAGCTGGAGGCCCGGCTCCCAGGCAGGCCCCTGGATGCTAGGGGGCCAAATCCGCCCACCCGGGGCTTTGAGGTCACCCTTTCGAGCTCAGCCCTGGCTTTGCCTGTTGCCTGAGACAGCTGTCTTCATGTTGGGTTGGTTCTGACCACCTTGCCACTTCCCACCTTTCCAGTTCTTTTTATTCCCATTGCCTTTCTTGGGAGGTGTCCAGAGACCACAGCAGGGTACATAGTTTGTCTGGGAAATTGGTCAGAAGTGTTTCATTCCTAAGCAGGCCCCCCGGGCAAAGCAGTCACTGAAAATCCTCCTCCAGGCATGAGGCGTGGCCTCTTGGCACCTCGTACTGGCCCTGGCCCTGTGAATCCCCCGCCTCCTCTCTGCCTCCATGAAGCTTTGCTGTGATTTGTGCTGCTGTCGGGCGGGGTCAGGTTTCCTGAGCAGTTGCAAACATCCCACCTGAAACATAACAGGCTCTTCCTCTGGCCACAGCTATTGTTTCCCTCCGCATTATGGCCACAGTCTTGCTCTGTAGCCAGCAATGACATGTGTTCTGAAAATAGCTTCGCTCCCCTGTCCCCTTCCCACCCACCCACCCTCCTGAAGATGCAGTCACTCCTTTGTGATGGCCCCAGGAGTTTTACTCTAAATATAGCTGCAGCCCATTCACACTGCCACCCAGCTGGAGGGGGGGCACTGTGGAACAATGGGGCATGCACAGAG